CCATCCTTAAAAATGGGATTATTTTTAGCTACATGTGGTGGTGTACACCTGTAATCCCAGCACTCAGGGGCGGAGACAGGAGGATCTTGAATTCATAGCAACACCCTGTTTCAAGTAAATAAATAAACAAATAGCCAGAAAAAAAGGGGATTTTGTTAAATGAGCATCTTGACTTCCTTGCTTCCCGTTTTAGAGGGAAGAAAAAGGAGAGTCAACATTTGCTGGGCACCTACACGGGGGCCAACAGGGGGCCTCTGTGTTGGCCAAGGTCAAGCAGCCAGAAGCTTTGAGGCAGGACTGAGATTCATTTGGGTCTGGCTCCAAATTCACTCACCAAACTATTTTTCCTCAAGAGTTCTTTGGGGAAGCTCTTGGGAGAACTTTTTAAAGCCATATCTTTTGAAACGCGAGTTTCAAGAGATGAGGGATCCTCCTCCCTGCGCCCCTCACCCTTTAAAGAGGTCCGGGTTGCTGCTGAAGCCCCCAGGACACGCTTTCGAAGAGGCAAAGCACTTTCCACGTCGCGGATGGGACCGCCTCGCTCAGCTCCCCTGCAGCCCCAGTTTCAAGTAAATAAATAAACAATAGCCAGAAAAAAAGGGTTTTGTTAATGAGCATCTTGAACTTCTCTGCTTCCCGTTTTGAGGGAAGAAAAGGAGAGTCAACATTTGCTGGGCACCTACAGGGGCCAACAGGGGGCCTCTGTGTTGGCCAAGGTCAAGAGCCAGAAGCTTTGAGGCAGGACTGAGATTCATTTGGTTGGCTCAAATTCACTCACCAAACTATTTTCCTCAAGAGTTCTTTGGGAAGCTCTTGGAGAACTTTTTAAAGCCATATCTTTTGAAACGCGAGTAAGAGATGAGGGATCCTCCTCCTGCGCCCCTCACCCTTTAAAGAGGTCCGGGTTGCTGCTGAAGCCCCCAGGACACGCTTTCGAAGAGGCAAAGCACTTTCCACGTCGCGGATGGGACCGCCTCGCTCAGCTCCCCTGCAGCCCCAGCCGGCCGGCAGGATGGGCGGGCTCCCCAACTGCGTCCCCGGCCCAGTCCTCAGCCCGCGCTGATGCGGGAACATCCCGCGTGGAGAGAGGGAGACGGTGTCCCCCGAAACTTGGCGTCTTTGCCCAGGGTGGCTCAGGGAGGAGACAGGTCTCTCCCGGGCTCCTCCGAGAATCCTAGACTCCTCTTCCCAGTCCCCCCGGCCCCGCAGCCAGCTCTTTCTCTTTGCTAGGAGGGTCCGCGGGGCTGACTTGGTTCTTAGGGTCCCATGACTGCTAAGAGGCAGCCGGTGACACCAGGGATGGGGTTCTGGGAGGCGTGGATTGGTGTCGGGGGTACCAAGACACTGGAAGACCTGGAGCCCCAGGCGGAGCGCATCTGGAAGCAAGCACGAGTCCCTAAGGACGCGATCGTGGGGGGCTACGGACGGGACCCCGCGAGCAGCCCCCTCCCCGGCCCCGCGCGGCCCCGCTCTACCTGCGCTGCTCCGCGCCGCCCGCCCAGCGCTCACAGTGAGGCGCTCACAGGGGTGGCTCGTGTCCCGGGCCCGGGCTGCCACGGGAGCCAGGGCGGGAGCGCAGGAAGGAAGGAGCCAGTTGGCCCCCGGCTCCCGCTACCCTCCCCAGCCCCGACCATGGGGCCACGCCTCGGAGGAGGGGCGCTGGCCGAGGGCGGGCGCCCAAGGGTCCGGGAAAGGGAGGACACAGGTGGGCTCCGGGATGCAGAGGCCGCACCGCCTGGCCGAGGATGTCAAAAGGCACTCGCGGAGTCACCTTTTATCCTCACTGATTGATAAAATAATCTGTCTCCCCTTAATCCCCAAAGGAGAGAGGCTCCTGGCTGGACAAAAGGCACTTGTGAAGGAAAGTGAACCTTAATCTTGTCCCCTCCTCGTTCTTGGTGGCATCTTTGTAGCCAAGTGATGGAAATCCTAACCGCTTCCCATGTCCTCAGCCTCAGCCAAGTCCCAGATACCTTGATGCCAGGGGGACCGAGCTGCCTTCCGCGCAGTAGGGAAGCGGGGAGGGGCCCAAAAGCAGGTGGGTTTTAATGAGCCGGGCATGCAGCTGTCCCCTCTTCCGTCCCCTCCTTGTCTTAGCCGCGACCCAGAGGCGCAGGCTTGATAACAGGTCTGGATAAATACAGGATACATTTCAACAAATAAAACAGAACTTCCACCCGTAAAAGTAACAGGGCAGAGCCCAGGCATCTGTAAAGGATGGGGCTTCAGCCCCACAGGGGAATCTGAGACAGTCCCTGACCCTGGGCGGGTAAATTCGGGCAGTATTTCCTGGGTGCGGCTGTGCAGAATGAATTCAGATCCTTAACTGTGATCATACGCTTTTTGAACTACTAATTCCTTTCCAGGATCTATCTTAAGGAAATCAGCAGCAAGGATTTATACACAAGGTTTACAGAGGTGGTGTCTACCACAGGGGGGAAAAACTATAAGAGCATAAAAGATTAGAAAGATGAATGCCAACCATGATAACTCCTATGTAATGGATTTAGATAATTGCTATTTTCTTTAATACAGTTTGTGTAATTTACACATATTCTCCAGTAGACATTTATAACTTACCTGTTCTGAAAGGTATAAAACCTCTTTTAAAAAATAGGTAAATAGGAAGAGGAGGAGAGAAATGGGAGGACAGGAGGCCAGAAGTGGGGAGGAGGGAAAAGGGAAAAAGGGAGGTGAGGGGAGATGGAACTTAAACTGTATGTGATGGAAACTAAGTGGAGCTTTAAAGCCTCACTAAATCAAACAGAAACTGGACAAATCCTTTGATGAAATTAGGAATCCTCCCCTTACCCTCCCCCAATGCTGCATAATTACCTCAAACTCTGACTAGCTTTGGGTTATAGTTCAGTTGATGAATTCCTGAAATTCTCATTTTCCTCTTGCACTTCTGCTGTGTGATTCAGGTTCAGAAGCTACCAACACCGGATCTGAAAATAACTTGATATTCACCAGACGTAGTTGTAATTTTCCAGCCTATGTCTTCCACTTGCCATGTGGATTCCACTGAAAATTCATTTACTTGGGGTTAGACGGGGGAACTTTTGCCAAAGAGCTAACAAAAGCTCCACGGTCTTCGGGCGAAGTGTTGGCAGAGCCAGGCTGCTGGTGAGTAACTAAGAGAAGCGTGTGCAACCTCTGCCCTCCCCACTTCTTCAACCCCTAAACCCATTCCCTCTAAAAAGCCACAGGCAGCCTTCCACTTTGAACATTTTAATTAGAAAGTTATAAAACATCATGGGTTCTCTATACAGATTTTGCATTAAAATAATAAAATGCAAAGCAATGTTTATCGTTAGCCATCTTTCCATATCTCATCACCTTTTTGAGATTTCAACCAGAAACCATTTTTCATTTAAGTCTCAAGGAAAAGTTGAGACATATAAACAGCCTTAAATAGTAAAAGACAAGCTGGAGGAACTACTGTTACTGCTTGAATACTCAAAGTATCTTTGTTTCCAACTTTTGTTTTGGCCAAACTGAAATAAAGGTGCTTTGGAAATAAGAACTGAATCACGTGATGAGAGGTGTGTTTGTGGGTGGGCGTGAGGCACAGATCACAGAAGGGTAAGTGTATCCTTCCAGGGCTAATGACACGCATAGGATATAAAGCAGATCCACCTGTGCCTAGGAGAGGGCTTTCTGAAAGCAGCAGAGGCCCGTTCTAGCCATCCCTTCTGCAGGCACTTGCTTAGCCAAGAGGGTAATCTGGCTGGACTGCTTATCACTGTGTTAATGGTCAGCTGGACTGGATGCCCGCTAGCATCCTCTTCGTTCCCTCCCTGAGCCTCCTGTCCTCCCCCAGAGCTACCCCTTTGCTGGGCACCCTGTTCTTTAGTCAAGGGAAATGCAAGTAGCTGTGCTTCTGGCTAGCCCTGCAAATAAACCCTGTAGTTGTTAGGCAGTGGAACCAATACAAACAACAACCCCTCTGTCACTCCTATCCTTGCAGAGAGAGGGAGGGCTGTCAAGGAGGAGTGGCAAAGGTCCAGGCTGTTGGGTGAGGGCCAGAGAGAAAGAATCTGTTGTTAGAAGCCAGCCTTACGTCCCCCACTGCTGCTGAGGGACTGAATGAAACAGCACTTCCTACTTCACCCTGCCATTGCAGGGGCACAGACAGAGGGCAAGAGGCAGGCAAAGAGCCAGCCACAGTCAGGCAGGGATAGAGGGCTGTTCAGCTGAGCTGATGACAGACCACGTCTGTTAGACTGAGGGCAGGTGGATGGTCCTCCCATCCTTAAGTCCCCCACCCTGGCACACAGGCTTCTGGGGCTCTTGAGCTTAAGCCCGGGCCCCTCTGGTTCTCCAGTTAAAGTCTTCAGTTCTAGAAATCAAAGCTCTGAATGGGAATTGTAGACACCCAGGAATGGAGAATACCAGGAATTTACATATTTATCATGAGAGCCCTGAAAAGAGTAAAAAGTGGTTTACAATAAGGGGGAGAAGTGCACAGTGCTTCTCAGTTCAAAAGAGGAAAAGTCTTCACTTGACCAGAGATGGGACTCTTTCCCAGATGTCCAAACTGATTGTAATTTTCTTTTGAAATTCAAGGCTAAGGCAAAAACAAAGTGAATTAGAGCCTCTAGGAACCTTTTGACCTTCCCACAAACTGGTCCCTGATGATTTGTCAGTGCATAGAAGGCAAGGAATTCATGTAGAGAGAAACTGGGAAGAAGCCCACGTGTTCACTGGGCTCCTTTCAGAAATGTCATAGGGCTGGGCACTGGTGGCTCACGCCTGTGATCCTAGCTATCAGGAGGCAGAGATCAGGAGGATTGCAGTTCAAAGCCAGCCTGGGCAAATAGTTCTGCTAGCCCTTATCTCGAAAAACCCTTCACAAAAATAGGGCTGGTGGAGTGGCTCAAGGTGAAGGACCTGAGTTCAAGCCCCAGTACCTAAAAAAGAAAGAAAGAAAGAAAGATCATAGAATGGCAGTTCTCAATGAAAACAATGAGGTAGCCACAGTCTTGCTGAGTCTCCAGAAACCATTTCTTAGGATAAGTGTTCCTTATACATCTCTCCCCCTGGCATTGCTGTTACAGGGATTGTGGTCACCACTTGATTCTGAAACACGAATATTTTGATTCTTTCAAACACCCAGAGGAAGATGAGCAGGATGCTGACATACTGGACCCAGGCAAATTTTATCATCTCCCAGAAGCCTGGTTGGTAAGTACAGACAGTTAAGGAGGCATAGACAATATGGAAGAAACAGTTACAGCAAGGTTCAGGTCAGACGGGAAATAATGTTTCCAATACCCTTAAGATAAAAGGGATAACCAAAGATTATTAAGACATAAATATGGATGATTCTAACCCAGAAGAATTGCTCAGAAAGAAAGCTGAGCAGGAAATGAAATTTTTCCCCAGTATGAACAGCAGATAGATCCAGTCATCTGTGTGAGGATACAGTGCTGTAGCAATTTCCAATCTAAGCTTCCCATATCCGTTCCTACTAGGGACAGCTGAGGAATCCTTCCTTTCTTTGTGGAAACTGAGCCATGCTGTCTGTCTAACAGAAAGGATATGAAATGACTTCCACAGGGTATCGGATGACAGCACTGATGACAAATGGAGCGTCAGCAGCCCTGCCCACCAGCCAGATGGGGTTGGGGTCATTCAGGACGGTGGTAACTGCAACACAAGCATTAAGCATTAATCCAGGATGGCCCTTTGGCAAGGAAATATTGAGGACTATAAATGTTCTTTGATTCCTGGGGGATATTCTACATTTCATAGTGAAAAGAAATAACAGGAAAGAGAAATTGTGTGTGCAAAGTTCCTTACACATTACTTAAAATTCTTGTCAAATATTTCTGTTAAAATACCTGGAAAACTTGGAAACAAGTTTGTGCCTTCTACAATTGTGAATAGCTAACTGAAGGAATACTATGTTGCTGGTAAAAACGTGTCAATTAGAATGTTTAGCAGTGTAGGGGAAACAATAATATTAGTTACATAAATAAGAATAATTCGGATCCCAAAGTGTTTCTTCACTAAAACAACTGTAGGAAAACCCAGCACATAGATAAAGAATGAATGAAATAAAGGAAAAGGCTGGGGGAGAGCGCAGTGGTAGAGCACTTGCCTAGTATATGCAAGGTCTTGGGTTGGATCCTCAGTTTAAAAAAAGAAAGAAAAGACAGGGAAGAAAAGTTAACTTGCAGGCCTCTGAGTTTTAGTTTTGTTTTAAAAGTTCTGTTCCTGGAACAGTGCTACTATATTATATAAAATTAGGAAGAAATACTGGAATTGCAGGCCTCCTATTTATGAAATGTCTGTGTGTGGTGTCCAGGACGTCTGGTTGCCAAATAACACTTTCAGTGCCTTTAGGGAAAACCTCAGGCCACCAGCCAGCCCACGTGCTGAGTCAGACACCAGAGAGGCCTGAGCACTTTGCATCTGTAAGGAGCAGTCAGAACCATGGGTGCTTCTGTTCTCCTACTGAGGTGCCGCATTTCCATCCTCTGCTTCTATCAAAAGTGGGGAATAAAAATTGTCTTTGGTTTCTTTTACAGATGTGGTAGTTAGGCTTACACACACATTAGAAAAAGGAAATCATTAAGCCAGTGGTGGGACAAATATGGCAAGTAATCTGTAACCTGCTGGACCACAGAAGTGGTGGTGAGTGGGAGTAGGTGTGGGTCTGAAGATGAAAAAATGAACAAGTCCAGGTGAGCCTGTTCATCTCCCTCACCAAGCCTCCGATTTTGAGATTTTCATCACAACAAAGGTTCCAATTCTGTTTATTTCCACTGCCCCACACCTGGAAAGCCCTTGGGTAGACTTGCAATGGCCTACCCCTGCTTGACTCACCGTTCCTTTCTTGGTAGGCAGCAACAATGTGGGTAAGGTCGTAGTCATAGGCAAAGGGGCTGGTCCCATTGATCACAGACACCTGGGCCAAAGTAGGAGGATGAAGTGTGAGCACTCAGACTTCTCCTCTCTTCCTTCTACCCTCCTGCTTGCCCAGGCTGATCCCAGAGACCACCCTCTTGTTCTTGGTGACCTATTCCAGTATCAGTAATTTTTTCAAGAATGAATAAACTTTCTTGCAATAATTTAAATTCATTTACTCTCAGGCTTTTCTTTTGTGGGGATGGAAACAGAAGTCAATGTCCACTTTTCACAGGTTTTACTGCTACACTACAAACATAGCAACATCCTAACCTAAAAAAAAAAAGGCTGTTGCCTCAGATGGGCTCTGATGCCTGGGCTCAGGTGATTCTTCCACTTCAGTCTCCCAAGTGCTGGGACTACAGAGGTGCCCACCACGCCCAGCTATAAGTCCTTAACTCAGGGATGGCATATGTTACCTGTTCAATAAATTGGCTAGTATTTTTTAAATGTGTTACACAAGCATTTTACATGATCATTTGGAATGTGTGGTAGTTATTTATTCATTTTGGTTGGACTGGGATTTAAACCCAGGGCTTTGAGCTTGTAAAGCAGGCACTCTATCACTTGAGCCACACCTCAGCCCGTTTTGCTTTGGTTATTTAGGAAATGGGGGTCTCACAAACTATTTGCTAAGGCTTGCCTTGAATCATGATCCTCCCAATCTCAGCCTCCCATAGCTAGGATTATAGGTGTGAGCCACTGGTGCCTGGCTATGATGGTTATTTTTGACTGTTTACTTGATTGGCTTGAAAACACTTAGATTAGTAAAGCACACCTCTGGATGTGTCTGTCAGAGCATTTCCAGAGATGAGATCATGAGGGTCCTGACCTAATGAATGGTTTAATCCCTTGATGGATTAAAAATGTGAATATACTATTAGACTGAGGGCATAGCTCAAGTGGTACAGCACTTGCCTAATGTGCAGGAGGCCCTAGGTTTACTCCCCAGTACTGAAAAAAAATCATATGTAGAAGAGGTGAGTGTATGAATAAATGCATAAATGCATCAAAGATTTTAAAAAATGTGAATAGACTGTTGAGAGGTGGTGGAATTGTGGAGGGCAGGACCTAGTTGGAGGAAGTAGGCCACTGGGGCATCTTACCCTGGCCCTTCCTATTTCTGACCACTCTACTTCCTGTCCACCATATGTGAGCTGCTCTTCGGCACACTCCCGCCACAGTGATGGACACAAACCTCTGAAACCATGAGTAAAGTAAATCTTCACTCATTTAAGTTGTTTTGTCAGGTATTTGGTCACAGCAACAATAAAACTAACAAACACAGAATACATTGGGGGGGAGGGGACGGGGTGTACCTAAAAGCAATGAACAATTTAGTTCTTCAAAAGAGACAAAGACATTTTTCTCTTTCTGGTTATAAATAAAAGTATACCTTTTCCATATCTTGAAAGAATTCATGATAAGAATTCCTCAGAAGTCCTGGTCTATGCCACCCACAGGGAATGCTATTTCTGACTCCAATTTCTTTGTCTTCAAAGAATGTAGTAAACATACAGAAATAAAGGAAGTGTCCTTACGTTGTATCGGACATCTAAGCCACTGTAACTCAGTGGCTGCTTCTGCTGCAGCCTTAGGTCTCCATTCACATATAACTGTGACCCTGGAATGGCAAAGGAGGACTGAAGAAAGGCCATGCTCTGCATCATGAATGTTGACATCCTCTGAAATCATTAGAAGGAGAGACAAAACCAACTGCCATCAGGTCTGAAGGGATCTATGTCCAAGAGTCACCTGTCTGCAGCTGAAGCTGAAGGGCCCTCACCTACTTGGGTTAGCCATGCAAAAAACCCTCTGCCCAAAATTCTCTGAGGTATTCATATCTAATAAGTTAATATGACCCCAATAAAAAACATTCAATTTGTCTATGTTAAATTTCCTACTAGGCCCCCAAAAAGAGCCTTCTACAGTGTGGGTCTTCCCACACTTTTAATGGCTGTGCTGCATTAAAAGATAAAAGGGAGTGGATTGGCCTCGGAAGGATGGACTCACGTGTAGTTGGTAGGAGAAGGTCAAGATGAGTTGCACACCAAGAACGTGCTCTGTGGACTGCAGGGGAAGCTCCAGTTTAAAATATAACATATCCATTTTCCCATCCTGGTTCCTGTCTTCTTCTCTAGTCTATGAAACACAAAGAGATTTCTTTTCCTTTTTTTTTTTTTTTTTGTGGCGTTTGGGATTAAACATTGGTCCTACTTGGGCAGGCGCTCTACCACTAAGTTTTACCCCCAGCCCTAGCTCAGTTTTTTAAAATAGAAAAAAGAAAAACTCAAAAAACCAAAACCCCACAAAACCTAATCATTATGCATTCCCTAAACAAAGTCAACAGAAAATCACCACACGGTATTTATACACTCTTAAACCACAAGTATCCTTGCTTCAGATTCTTGAACTTGGACCATCTATCTCATTATTCATGTTAGGACTTTAAGCTTTGTGCATCTTTTAGTTCCAGTCAATAAAATGAAAAAGGAAGCTAAGTAAAATCTGCAGGCCTTTAAAACTGCAATAAGTCACAGATATGAAAGTAAGAAAAACAGAAAAATCTGAAGGCAAAAGATAAATCATAGCTCATAAATCTTAAATCATATGTAGACTGTTTTAAAAACAGTCCTGCTGGCCAGCCTTGCCTCACAGTAACCCTACAAAGACCGGCAGGAAAGGATAGTTCCTGCAATGTAATCTCCCACAGGATTCCTGGGCACAAAACACTAGTCCTTTTCCATCAAGTTCCCAGAAGGACTAGATTCTACCATGGAATGCCAGCATCCCCATCTGAATCCCCCCTCAATTCATGTTGAGGGAGAGACTATTACTATTTTGTGAGGAAGAGACCGTTTTGTCCTTCAGGCTAATAAGGTTGTTTGAAAGTGTCACAGCTCTTTTAGAATTTGTCCAGCAGGTTTTCTGGCTTATGCTGAAAAACCCCACCAGTTTAAAAAAAAAGAAAAAAAAGGTCGAGATAAGAATATCTGTTTTAGAACCTTTAATCATTTTTTCCTTTCCAGACAATAAACTCCTTATCCTTTGCCTTGTTACAGATAAAACTACCCTCCTTCTTCCATTGGATACTACTGTCTATGTGCTATTCCATCAGCTTCCCGAGGGGAGGGAGGAGCTCTGCTGCCAGGGTTGATGATCAAGGTGCTGAGGCAATTATGTGTCCATCGTCGGAAGCAGGATGGAGAAGAGGCTACCTTGTCTTCCTGTGAGTCTGCTTAAGTTGGAAGCAGACTTGGAAGACAATGTGGCGTTAACTCTGTAAGTGGTCCATGCGTTCTGGATCTCAGCCGGACAGATCAAATTTCTCAACTTATGAAAATAGTGGTCAGCAGAATGGCCAGGAGAACCGAGACTCCCACATGGAAGGAGAAAACTCATTTCACTGAATTTTGATGATAGACATCAAGCCTAAGGTAGACCAAGTGGGTTATCCCACTGTATAGATGAGAAAGTCAAGGCTCACAGATGCTAGGGAATTTATCAGGGATACAGCTAGTAATGGTAGGGACAAGATTTCAGATCAGGTGCTTTTGCTTAAATCTGCTTTTCTTTCCAGGACTAAAATGACTAAAAAAAAAAAAAATTCAGAGACATTAGGTAGAACAAATCTTTTTGCAAAATGGCAGTGTCCAGAGTGTAAGTCTGAATAATTGCTCATGTGCACACTTTCAAGTTCATGGAGGACAGAGATCTGGCTCAGCCCCACAGTTAGGTCCACTTATTAAATCCACTCATCAATCTGTGAAGTACTTTTTAAGGCCCTACGATGTACACTGAGTGATGCTGGGAACATAAGGGTAAGCAAAGTTCCCACTCTAGTGGGGCTTAGATTTCCAGCAGTAAAGGAAGAAAATAAATAAAAAACATAAATATTTAACAATATTGGAAGGTGCTAAGTGCCACAAAGAAAAATAAAGCAGGCTAAAATTAGAAGGTGAGGGCAGAAATTCACAGGTTTTACAGAAAATATTCACGATGATTTAAGCTGTTGGTGACCTGAATGAAGACAGTATGAAGTGAAGGGAAAGAGATCCAGGTTAACACAGGGCCAGGGCAGCTGGACAGAGTGAGAGAAGAAGGCCATGGGAGAGGAGGACAAACTGAGAATCTTGGGGATGAGGGATGATTCAATGGTACATAGTCCATAAAAATGACCTGCCACCATGCTAGCCTCTCACCCCATGGCCTGGCTACAGTGGGTTGTGTCTGTGCTACCACTTGGACCCTTGATGAAATCAATTCCTTAATTCCATTTAGTTCAAAGTAAGTATAACAAGTGTACAATAGCAAAATACAGAAAGCTAGCATTTCCTGGATACAAATTCCAGGTCAGAACCTAAAATCCGATCACTGTCTAGCTTAAAAAGTTCATAAATCATATCACTGCCTTATTTTTGAGATATATGTGATTTGGAACAACTTATATATTCATTGATTGTCTCATGTGATCCCTCCATACATCCCAGGAGAGTGGAAGGAACCATCATGCCTGAATATAGTTGGAGTGAAGCTGAGTGAGTGTATGGAACCCAATGACAGAACTGGTACTAGAAACTAGGTTTACTGACTCCTGATTCAGTGCTCCTTTTGTAACAGCTCATACAAACTCAAATTTCAAAGATTTCTGGTACATAAAGGAAGATAATTTTTTAGGTGTAAGGGAAATTGATTATGATGTACTAGATAGAAAATGCATATCAGGTAATTCCAGCTTCCCAGAAGGTGGGGACAGTAAGGTCGGGAATTGAAGTCAAAAATTAGTGAGACTCCATCTCAAAAATGACGAAGGTGTGGTGGTACATGTGGGTGGTCCCAGCTATTTGGGAGGTGGAGGTAGGAGGATGAGGCCCAAGACCCTATCTGAAAAATAAACTAAAAGCAAAAGGAGTGGGGGCATAGCTCAAGTGGTAGAGCCTGAGTTCAATCCCCAGTACTGGAAGAAAAAAGTACATCAATCCACCTGTATCAATAATCAGGGTCCAATCAGGAAAAGAACTATGTTACTTTAACACGGGGAATTTAGTATAGAAAATAAGAGTAAATAGGTATTAGAAGGGGAAAGTGGATAGTGCACCTAGGGCTAGAGAAGAAGGGGACGAGGCTGGGGCCAGTAGAAAGGAGAGACTTGAAGGAGAGGCCTTGGCAAGTTGTGACTCAGACCTCAGGATGGAATGCTGCCCAGGAAGAACCAGTACCTTCAGCACTTGGAAGAGGGACTACCAGAGGGGACGGCAAGGCTGAAGTAAAGACAAGTCTTACTTCTGCCTGTTTGCTTGTTGTCCCTGTTTGGGTTAACCCAGCAGTGGTTCTTCACTCTGACAGCTGGCAACTGGTTGCAGTGTGTCCCCACTCCTAGAACAAGGCTCATCATGCCTCCTACTGGCAGAAGCTCACAGGGAGCTGGTAGGCAAAGGAAAATGCGGTTTTGAGCTTCTCAGCAGGAGCATCAGAAACAGAGCACAGGACTGAGGGCCTGGAGCTGAGACAGGCCTCATAACCAGCATGCCATCAGGCTATAAGAGCTACTGTCAATCTAAGGAGTGCTATTGTTCCTGGTGGCCTAACTTGCAACATTTTTTCCCATCAGGGATTCTACAGCATCTGATGGTTTGCTGGAATTGTCTTTGGTTCCTGTTTCATACCTTGCATCCTTCTGAGTCATATTCTTTTACTAAATGTTAATTTCCTAGTTTGTACCCTGTCCATTTTACCAAATATTTGTTAACACTGGGTACTTCACTGTTTCTTTTTATGCTGAAAATATTCTTTGGCATCAGGCTTTGGTTTCAGCAAAGTAGGGATAGCTACTTCAAGGTTCCTAGATTCATCAAATCCTTGCTACCTGTATTTCGATGAAACAAAAACACCATCAATTATAAAATGCACCATTATCTTACATACCAGCAAGAATGGACAAATATTTCTAGTTACTGTGATAAAATGCTTTCTAAACACTTATTTGTTTTATACCTATTAAAAGAGCTTTGAGCCGGGTGCCAGTGGCTCACACCTGTAATCCTAATTTCTCAGGAGGCAGAAGTCAGGAGGATCATAGTTCAAATCCAGCCTGGGCAAAAAGTTCATGAGACCCTATCTTGAAAAAACCCATCACAAAAATAGGGCTGGTGGAGTGGCTCAAGGTGAAGGCCCTGAGTTCAAACCCCGGTATCGCGCACACACACACACACACATACACACACACAATTTAGTAAGTGCCCATATAAAACAAAGACAACCCCCCCCATGCCAAAAAAAAAAAAAAGACCAATAAAAACTTAAAGCCAGGTAAGCATATAAAATGATGTACTTACTTTGGAAAACAGCTTGGCAGTCCACAAAAAGTTAAACCCATCTGGGCGTGGTGGTACACACCTATAAATCCCTGCACTCAGGAGGCTAAGGCCAGAGGATCGTGAGTTTGAGGCCAGCCTGGGCTACATCGTGAGGCCCTATCTCAACAACAAACAAAGTTCTTTTTTTTTTAATATAATCTGCTTCATGAATTTATGTGTCATCCTTGCACAGGGGCCAGGCTAATCTCCTCTGTATCATTCCAATTTTAGTATATGTGCTGCCCAAGCCAGCACAAACAAAATTCTTCTTTGTATACGTTTAATACTATTGCAACAAAATATTTTTATTTTCTAACTCTAAATATTAACCCAGACTGGCTTCAGCATGTCTGGGAAACTGCCCAGAAGCCAATGAAGCTGTGGTTTTTAGGTCAAGGTTTTACCAACTCCTATAAGGCAGCTTTGCAGCTGATAATTTGGAAAAGTGCCTCAGAAGTCACAAACAGGCTGGTGGACTGACTCAAGTAGCAGAGTGCCTACCTAACAAGCAGGAGGCCCAGAGTTCAAAACCCCAGTGCTACCGCCCTCCCCCAAAAAAATAAAAGTGACAAGCAGTCTTGCTTTTGCTTGACCTTGCACAGTGTCTCTAAAATCCTCATGTTTTTAATGCCTTAAAGTCAGTTTTGTTGTTTTAATGAGAGAAAAAGGCAGAGTGGCCTTTTCCCTTGATGAGCCTAACATGGCTCTTACAGGCATGTGCGGACACAGAGAATGTGGGGGCTGAAGGGTCTAAGCACCTATTTTTTCTCTTTTCTGAAACTGAAGTGTGCTCTCCTGTCTGTGGCATCTGACGTTAGCTGTTGGCGAGGAGGCAGGCTTGGCATGGTTCCATCGCCTATTCCTGTATAAACATCAAAGTGCCAGCGTGGCTGGGTGTGATGGTGCCTACCTCTAATCCCAGCACTGGGAGTTGGAGGCAGGAGGATCAGGAGGATCTTGAGTTCAAAGCCAGTCTAGGCTATTTTTCAATATGTTGTCTTAAAACAACAATAAAATAAGCTAGCTCTACGTAACTCCAAAGGCTGCTTAAGAACCCAGACAAGGGCTAGGGGCATAGCTCACACAGTAGAGGTCTTACCTAGCAAGCACAAGGCCCTATGTTTAAACCCCAGTACTACTGAAAAAAAAAAAAAAAAAAAAGCCCAGACCAATGGACTTTAGTTCCCTTTCTGAATTATATTCTAAAATGTTGTATTATCAACATTATTGATGATACAAAGATAAATTTGCATAGAAAGGTACACATTATCACTGACTGAGTTAAAATGTGATTCAATCTGGGCACTGGTGGCTCACACCTGTAATTCTAACTACTCAGGAGGTAGAGATCAGGAGCCAGCCAGGGAAAATAGTTCAAGAGACCCTATCTCAAAAAAACCCATCACAAAAACAGGGCTGGTGCAATGGCTCAAGGTGTAGGCCCTGAGTTCAAACCCCATACCACAAAAAAAAAAACCAAAACTTACTTACATTTAAAAATCCAGCCCAACCTGATGGCACATGGGTGTAACCTAGCTACTCCAAGAGGTTGAGGCAGGAGGAATTCAACTTTGAAGCCACTGGAACTGCTAAGTAAGACCTCTGGCTCAGCTAGGGATAATGGCTCAAGTGTTAGAGGGCCTGACTAGTTAAGTTTGAGGCATTGAGTTCAAACTCCAGTACTTAAAAAAAAAAGACCCTCTGTTTCAAGAAAAAAAAATCTTAGGAATTAAGGGTGAGATTATGTTTACATTCCTATGGTACAAAATTAAAAAGGTACAAAAGGGCACAGAGTAAAACAGCTTCCCTCCAACCCTGATTTCAGCCAACAAGGTCCTTCTCCAGAAGCAGTCAATGCTGTCAGTGCTTCCGTACCTTTCCAGAGATATCCAAAGCATTCAGTCTTCCTATCTGAGCTCTTGCTTCTCTTTTTCTTACTGTATTCAATTATTTTAATAGACATGGAAGCATACGTTTTATAATTTTTTTATAACTATCAATTTCTATTTCAGAGCATTACATATTAGTAAATGTAGATTCATCTTTTTTTTTCTTTTTTTTTGTGGTACCGGGGCTTGAACTCCAGGTCTACACCTTGAATCACTCCACCACCCCTTTTTTTTGTGATGGGTTTTTTTCCAGATAGGGTCTTGAAAACTATTTCCTTGGGTTGGCCTCAAACCGAGAGCCTCCTGATCTCTGCCTCCTGAGTAGCTAGGATTATAGGTGTAAGTCACCAGTGCCTGGCTTACTTTATTAAAAAAGAATAGTGAGGGACCTGAGGTGTGGCTCAGTAGCAGTGCCTGCTTTGCAAGCATAAAGTCCTGAGTTCAAACCCCAGTCCCACCAAAAAAAAAAAAAAAAGTGGGGTTGGGGTACTATAGCTCTTTTTTTTTTTTTTTGCAGTACTGGGGTTTGAACTCAGGACCTTCACCTTGAGCCACTCTACCAGCCCTTTTTTGTGAAGGGTATTTTTGAGATAGGGTCTCTCGAACTATTTGCCCTGGCTGGCTTTAAACGCTGATCCTCTTGATCTCTGCCTGAGTAGCTACAGGTGTGAGCCAAGGATGCCTGGCAAGTCTCCTCTTGATTTGTAGCTTGCTTACAATCTTTGGGTATTAGATGCTATAGACTTGTTTTTCTGTTGCAATGAGCTGCATTTTACATATGCCACTTGACAAGTGGCACAAACCTTACAGTACATTCCTCCTGCTCCTCCTCGCCCTTCGGCAGTTTTGGGGATCAGTATTTTATGACTTAGTATCACAGGATTTCAAATAATTCCCAAGCCAAGAGCTCAGCCAGGAAGGAAACAAATCATTTACTGAGAAAGACTGTAGGTGATGAAAAATGACTATGAAAAAGGAGTTTGGGTCCACTGTGTTTTACTAACAGTGTGAACTTATGTAGGCTGAGGATGTAGCTCTGTGGTAAAGCACTTGCCAGGCATGGTTGTGGTCTCGGGTTTGACCCCCAACACTGCCAACAAAACCAAAAAAAAAAAAAAAATACAAAAAAGAAAAGAAAATCACCAAGAACAACTATCCAATATTAAAGAGAATTAGTAAAGTCTTTTTATTAGTGGCCTAAGATGACCTGTGGTTTTTTATTTTTTCTCCTTTTTGGCAGGCATTCTACCTCTTAAGCCATGCCCCCAGTTCCCTGAAGTGACCTGTGAAAATAGTTCACTACTCTCTTCACCCAGACAGCCCCACAAAATATGCAAATCAAGGGGTTCAAATCTTTGCATTCACTTTAAGAACACCTGAGAAACTGCCCAAGCCATCAATGATATGCGTATCTGAAAAGCCACCAAGTATGTGAAAGATGGCACTGTAAAGAAGCACTGTGTGCCACTCTGGCATTACAATGGTGGAAATGACAGGTGTGCCCCAGCCCAGCAGTGGGGCTAGATGCAGGGTCGGTGGCCCCAAAAGAGTGCTGAATTTTTGCTGCACATGCTTAAAAATGCAGAGAGTAAGGCTGAACTGAAGGGTTTAGACGTTGATTCTCTGGTCATTGAACATCTCCATGTGAACAAAGCACCCCAAGCCCAAAGTGCTGCCCCACTTACAGAGTCCATGGTCAGTTCAACACACCCACCAGCAACTCCTGCACACTGGATGATCTTTACTGAAAAGGAACAAATTGCTCCTAAACCAGGAGAGGGGGGTCACACACAAGAAACAGAAATTCATGGCACAGGAATAAATTCAGCACAAAATAAATGCAAATAAAAGAAAAAAAAGGAATTAGTCTTCGCTTCTGAAATTTAAAAGCGGAACTGCACACCAGAAGCAGAGGGAGCCCTTAGGTGGCGCTCTCAAGGGAGTGGTTTCTGGTTACAGAGATGAGAGATTGGCCAGAAGTCCAACCAGGAAGTCAACCAGTTGTGGTGAGTAAAAAAAAAAAAAAAAAAAGAGAATGAATGAAACCTAATGTTCATCCTTGTTTTCATGATCATCTTAAGTTCTCATGATGATTTCTTAGACCCAAATATGAAAAGTGTAACAGGGCTGGTGACTCAAGTCTGTAATCCTAGCTATTCAGGAGGCAGAGATCAGGAGGATTGAGGTTTGAAGCTGGCCTGGGCAAACAGTTCTCAAGATCCTATCTCAAAAATACCCAACACAAAATAGGGCTGGTGGAATGGCTCAAGTGGTAAAGTACCTGCCTAGCAAGCATGATGCCCAGAGTTCAAACCCCAGTATAGCAAAAAAATAAAATAAAGTAACTGTCCTTCAGTAAAACCAGCTTCTATTCCCAATTCCTCACAATTTGATGTTAAAAAGTATAAGATTTAAGCATGGGCAGGTGGTGCTCTCCTGTAGTCCCAGATTCTCTGTGGGATGAGGCAGCAGGATCACTAAAGCTGAGGCTAGCCTGGGCAACCTAGTGAGAGCCCATTTCAAAAAGAAAAAAAAAAAGTAAGATTTGGTCAAAATTTTGTTCAATGAGGGAGAATGGTGGTGGGGGGGTGAACCTAACCAAGGTACATTATAAGCAAATATGGTAATGTCACAATGAAACTTCCCTGTACAACTAAATATATGCTAATAAAAATGTTTTAAAAAATTTGTGCATTGGGCCGGGTGTCAGTGGCTCACACCTGTAATCCTAGCTACTTGGGAGGCTGAGATTAGGAGGATCAAATTTGAGGCCTGCTGGATCCCAAGGTTCACGAGACCCCATCTCCAATGTAACCAGAGCAAAATGGACTGGAGGTGTGACTCAAGGGGTAAAGTACCTGCTTTGCAAACACAAAGACCTGAGTTCAAACCCCAATTCCACCCCTCCCCCAAAAAATTTTTGTTCATTGAAACATTGCTGTACACCAGGCAAGGTGGCTGAATTCCCAGCTACTTGTTGGGTACATGATGATCAAGGTTGCAAGCCAGCTGGGGCAAAAACAGCAAGACTCCATCCATCCCCATACCAAGCCTGGTTTATAATCCCAGCTAAGCAGAAGGTTTAGGTAGGAGGACTGTGGCTGTTTAGTGAAACCCTACTTACTTAGCCTTTTATATTCTGTCATTATGTATACCTGTAGCTCAGAAGTTACTTAACCAGTCAGCGTCTTGGCTTCCAGGGGTCAAGTCTACATAAAAAACGTCTGCCCTTTCTGTCCCTAGTGTGGTGATGCATAAACCGCAGTGACACCTTGGAGTTGACAAAACAGGCCTTTTGGTTTCCAAAAAAGACTTCCATCAGGCACCGCCCACAGAAATGACCTGGCCCAGGGACAGTCTGTCCCCGGGCTCTGGCACACGCGTTTGATTGCACACGCGTTTGATTGCACACGCGTTTGATTACATGGCTAACTTTGTGGGAGCTGTGGTCGTCTAGGAGAAGCTGCAAGAGAAAAAACGGATCTCTCTAGGAAGTTACACCTGCGCAGGACAAAGAGCCTGTGTATACGACCTTTGTGGGTTTGCGAGGCCACAAGGTCGAAGCTTGTCCCCTTCACGCTATCCCCCACCCAGCTCCGGGGACCGCCAGGCCCAGGCGGGAACCACGCACCGAAACGAGCGGGACGCGCAGGTGATCCCCCTGCAGCCGGTTGAAGGCAGGGAACGTGCTCCAGGCCAGGAACCCGCCGTGCTCGGGCCCCAGCAGGGCCACCAGCAGCACCTGGTGTTGGAAGCGCACGGTCGGCTGCTCTTCGTAGCTGCTCCGCTTCAGCCAAAATCCTGAGTCAAAGAAGGCGGGAGGAGGAATAGGGAGGAGGTCAGGAGGGCCGGCCCCGGCCGGCGGGCCGCGGAGAGCTGGGTCGTGCACGGGCCGAGGCGGGCTCACCGTGGCTCCGGAAGGCCACCAGCAGCGGCGGGATGTAGGTGAGCACGGCCGCCACTAGCAGGAACAGCGCAGCCTTGGAGCAAAGGCCCGCGCGGTAGCCGCGCTCGGCCGGGTGAGAATACAGTTGGTACAGCGCCATGAGCACCACGCGCAGTCCCGCCGCGCGCTGGGACCCCTTCGCGATTCCAGAGGGATAACCAAGTTTGGCTTCTCGGGGTTGCCATCGCCCTGGTCTCCACGGCAACCAACGGCGCCGGAAAGGAGCCAATAGCGAGGACCCTGCGCCTCAGGAGGGGAGGGGCTAGCGGGGGGCGGTGCCCGGAGGAGGCACGTCCACCTCGCTGTAAGCGTTTCGCAGGTCCTACGCGGTGCGTTAGTGGAAAAGAACGGCTGAGATCCTAACAGAGAGGTCAAGAGGAGTCCATTTGGTGAAAACTGTCTTTACCAAGAGACGACCACGCCATCAGCCATAACATGCTTCTGACCTGCCCTGTAATCCACTATTACCCATTCTTGCTATAAAATTTTACTCAGGTTAACAACTTATCACTTACTGAAATTCTGTCATTATTTGGACATCATATTTTATCTTTGCTTTAAGGATGACTTTCATTTATTTAAATAACCACTAAAATAAGGATCTTCTGGTCGATGAGGGTGGAACCACCTCAGAGTTGGAACCTGAGGAAGAAGGTGTTTGCCTCCAAACTCTCTCAACAGAAGGAAACCCACACTGTAGTAAAATCATTGCTGTAATAGAGGGAGGTGACTGCCAAGAGTTTTAAGTGTATGAAGTGCTTTAGCATCCAAAAAGTAATTAGTAATAATGGACACTGATAGTTCCTCTTTGCTCCCATGATTTGAGGAAGCTAGTCCTTTCTGGTTTTATTTCAAAAATTTAAAATATTGGACTTTTTTAAGTGCTAAAGATCTGTGTATATTGTGTCATTTTCACACAATCCTGAATCCTGACTTTTCAGTTCCCGTTTCCATAATGTTCTGCTGTCTTGTACAATTTACCTCCATTGATAGCCATTTTTGCAAAAGTACATATTTTAAACTATTTCTCTCCTTCACAGGAGCTCCTCATCAGAGTCTCTCAAATCATTTTAGAACTCCTGAATATTTGCCTTAAGGCTTTCCAACATTTATCTGTATCACTTTCTAGTTCTTTGTTTTATCTGAAAAGTTTACCTTTGAAAAAGGTGACTTTTTCTCTTTTTTTGCAGTACTGAGATTTGAACTCAGGGTTTCACACTTTCTAAGCAGGCACTCTACCACTTGAGCTACTCTTCCAGCCCTTTTCTGTATTGGGTGTTTTTGAGATAGGTCTTGGGAACTATTTGCCTGTGCTGACTTTGAACCGCAATTCTCCTGATCTCTGCCTCCCAAGTAGTTAGGATTATAGGCGTGAGCCACCAGTGCCCATCATGCCTTTCTTTTTGCATCAGAAGATTCATGTTCTCTGTGGTCTTTCTTGCTAAGCCTTGCCTGGCTTTATTCTGGCTCCATTGCTTTAACTGTCCTTCAGTACCACTGTTCCCCCACCTCTCCAACATGTGAAACTTGACCTGTGTGCTCTGTAGGTCTGTTAGTGTGCAACTGCATGCATTCATTATCTCATTTCTCCTCCTGACTCACCTCCTCAACTAACCACCTGCTCCAGGAGAGCTTCTGGTATCCTTGGGCCATTCAATAACCTAAACAGGGGGGAGAAATGAACCAAGCCTTGTATGCACATATGAATAATAAAAGAAAAAAAAATAAAAAAACAAAACAAAAAAAAGGGTTAAAAAAAAATAACCTAAACACAATGACCCAACAGGAAAAGAAAGGTGATGGGTGCCTATCAAGACAGATCAGAGAAGCCAATTAGAATAATGAACTGAAAAAAGATTCCAAGAATGGAATCTCATACAGTTGGAACTGTTAGGAGACATGTGAGTTGAGAGCAGTGGATCTTTTCCTGAGAAATACTAAGCACTTTGCAAGGGACTGTTCATATGCTTTGGACTAGGAATAATGGTCAGCTCTGTAAAAGGAAGCAGTGTCCAGTCCAATCTATCTTCCTTCCTTTCTTCCTCCCCTCCTCTCTCCCTTCCTTTTTTCCTTCCTTCCTTCCTCCCTCTCTCCTTCCTCCCTCTTTTTCTCTCGTTCCTTCCTTCCCTTCTTTCCTCCTTTCCTTCCTCCCTCTCTCCCCTCTTCTTCTCTCCCAGCCTTTTCCCTTCCTCCCTTGTGCTTCTTCCATATGCTAGGCAAGCAGAGTGGATTACCACTGAGGTATAACCCAGCCCCTCCTGTCCAGTTTCTAACTCCTCCACTGATTTATTGATTATGAGAGGATATTTTCATTTTTGCTCACTGTCTAGCTGATCTCATCCACTTCAATGACTTTATTTTTTAAATTTTATTTTGAATTTTCATATATTAATAATACAAGGGGATTTCATAATGATAATTCCATACATGTATACAGTGTTCAATGACTTTAAAATCATACTTTTCTCCTGAATTTGAGACTTACAGAGGCATTCACCTACCCTGTATTGTCATTTGGATATCTCTTGGACACCTCATACTCAATATATTAAAAACAGAACTCTTTTTTTTTTTAGTTCTTTTTTTTTTTATTTTTATTTTATTATTCATATGTGCATACAAGGCTTAGTTCATTTCTCCCCCCTGCCCCCACCCCCTCAATACCCAGCAGAAACTATTTTGCCCTTATTTCTAATTTTGTTGTAGAGAGAGTATAAGCAATAATAGGAAGGAACAAGGGTTTTTGCTGGTTGAGATAAGGATAGCTATACAGGGCATTGACTCACATTGATTTCCTGTGCGTGGGTGTTACCTTCTAGGTTAATTCTTTTTGATCTAACCTTTTCTCTAGTTCCTGGTCCCCTTTTCCTATTGGCCTCAGTTGCTTTAAGGTATCTGCTTTAGTTTCTCTGCATTAAGGGCAAAAACAGAACTCTTAATCCTAGCTATTCAGGAGGCAGAGGTTAGGCGGTGAGGCAGACCCAGCTGGTGCAAATGGTCTGTGAGACCCTATCTTGAAAATACCCTTCACAGAAAAGAGCTTGTGAAGTGGCTCAAGGTGAAGGCCCTGAGTTCAAGCTCCAGTACCACAAAAACAAAACAAAACAAAATGAAACAAAGAAACCAACTCTTGATTCTCATCCCACAAACTGGCCCCACCCTATCCCATTAAATGGCAGTCCCATCCTTCCAAAAACGTTGAATTTTTGTCCTTCACACTTCATATCCAATCAGGAAATTTGGTCAGCTCTACCTCAAAATGTATCCAGAATACAAATATTTTCCATCATCTCCACAGACCCAGTCTTGGTGTAAGCCAACATTATTTTTCACCTGGATTATCACAATAGTCTCTTGGTTTTTTTTATATACTTAAACAATACTGCATTTATAAAAAAAAACATAGGAAATTTCAACTCTTTGAGAGTTATAAAAATCAAGGTTTTAGCTAAGTTATAAGCATGTTTTTCTTTTTTTTAATTTTAATTTTTTTATTATTCATATGTGCATACAAGGCTTGGGTCATTTCTCCCCCCTGCCCCCACCCCCTCCCTTACCACCCACTCCGCCCCCTCCCTCTCCCCCCCACCCCCTCAGTACCCAGCAGAAACTATTTTGCCCTTATCTCTAATTTTGTTGAAGAGAGAGTATAAGCAATAATAGGAAGGAACAAGGGTTTTTGCTGGTTGAGATAAGGATAGCTATACAGGAAGTTGACTCATTAATTTCCTGTGCACGTGTGTTACCTTCTAGGTTAATTCTTTTTGATCTAACCTTTTCTCTAGTACCTGTTCCCCTTCTCCTATTGGCCTCAGTTGCTTTAAGGTATCTGCTTCAGTTTCTCTGCGTTAAGGGCAACAAATGCTAGCTAATTTTTTAGGTGTCTTACCTATCCTAATATCTCCCTTGTGTGCTCTCGCTTTTATCTTGTGATCAAAGTTCAATCCCCTTGTTGTGTTTGCCCTTGATCTAATGTCTGCATATGAGGGAGAACATATGATTTTTTGTCTTTTGGGCCAGGCTAACCTCATTCAGAATGATGGTCTCCAATTCCATCCATTTACCAGCGAATGATAACACCCTTTCCTTATGTCCTCCTTCTTTCTACTGGTACCAACTCCTCAGGCAGGACCTGTTTTACCTTTTGTCCTCCCTCTTTGAAAAAAAAAAAGACATTTTTGTTTGTGACATTTTCGTGTATATATGGTTCATCTCATCCATTTTTTCTCCTTTCTACCTTAGTCCCCTTCCTATGGTGATTTGGACAGGTTTAACAGCTCTGTAGTCATTCTTGCCTTGGTATTTATCTCTGCATATGTTGTCCTTAAGTCAGTGTAATCCTCCTGCACTGTTGCTTATTTTCTTGAGGATTGACAATCTGCCTAGAGTGAAATGGAATCTCAGTGATGTTTTGATTTGCATTCCCTTTATGGCTAAGCATGGAGGACACTTCTTCACATGAATTTATTAACCATTTGTATTTCTTTTTTTTAATTCATATGTGCATACAATGCTTGGGTCATTTCTCCCTCCGGCCCCTACCCCCTCCTTCTCCCCCCCACCCCCTGGCTACCCAGCAGAAACTATTTTGCCCTTATCTCTAATTTTGTTGAAGAGAGAGTATAAGCTATAATAGGAAGGAACAAGGGTTTTTGCTAGTTGAGATAAGGATAGCTATACAGGGAGTTGACTCACATTGATTTCCTGTGCACGTGTGTTACCTTCTAGGTTAATTCTTTTTGATCTAACTTTTTCTCTAGTTCCTGATCCCCTTCTACTATTGGCCTCAGTATAAGCATGTTTTTCATGTAAGTATTTGCATGACTACTTAATTTGCAATTAACTTTATAGTTCAATTGTATACAGGAAACATGCTACATATGAAAAAATTACTAACTGAACTATAGGTATGAAATACTGAAAAAAGTAACAGTTTATTATCATTTATTTTATTTTGAAGAGGAAGATAGCCCTGGAACAGGGTTGTAAAACATGGTAAACTGTCAATTAAAAGCTGTAACCTCGGACAGAGCTGTGAGGAATTGCCCATTAGAACCCTGCAAAAGCTCAGGACCGAGATAAGAGGCACCAAGCAGAGAT